TAAGTAAACAGCAAACCCCCCAGTAAAACTCTTTAACTGCAAGCTAATATGCAACACATTTGGGTTCATTTAAATTGTGTGGTTCTATTGGCTGTGCTCAGGAGTTATGAGTCAATTAGTGGTGTTCTGTGTATATGTATGTTGTATTTTACCACCATTATTCTGTGAATCAGTCTGCTTTTATTCAAGTCTACCACCATACTAATAGCAGTTCATCTACCGTTAATGTGATCCTTTGATCTTTTTGGCTGAGGGCAATTGCCCGAGGAGAAACAGGGCTAGTTAGCTAAAAAGTGTCCCAAGAGTTAAGCCTAGCAAATGATATTCAATATTGACTGAGAGAAAATAGTTTTGGTGCCTGAGTCCCTATGAGACACTGTAGTGCAGTGAGATGTACCGAACATAGAGAGGTCCATCAAACATACTGACCTCATCTAGAGTGACATGCATGCTCTGCTTTTCTTTAATACATTCCAATTGTCTAATAACATCTGTTAGATGTTACCTGGCCTGTGTGTCCCTCACCCTGAATAATGAGTTAGCTTCCTGCCATTCTCTCGTCTTGTTCCATGCAGCCTGAAGCAGAACTTATCAAATGTGGTGTTTATCACCACAGAGAGTGGCATTCCTAGGCGGGTCAAAGGAAGGTAGCTCCTTGGTTGACCTCTTTAACGTCAGCTCATCTCTCCGAGGGATTTTCATTTCATCTTCTCAGCTTATACTGCTGGATTGTGTCATACTTTGGTCTGGTTTACAAGGCTTTGGGAGCAATCTGTAGTTACAAGATCCTTGCCTATAGGGTCTATCTGCATTACAATAATATATTGAAATCAGAATAGTACCATTGTATCTAATTTCTGGAATTAAATGTCCATGATAAAAGCACATCTGTGCAGTGCACTGTGGTGTTTAAGTAAATGTGAATAACTCAGTCTCTGTCCTAAATATTTGGCAATGTTTATTGTAATTTTCTCCAAAATGTTTTTTCAAGATTGTTGATAATTTGTCTTGAGAAACATAATAGCTCACAGTCACTGCTATATTCTGTATCTGAAGGATCATCTCATTTATTAATAACATTACTAAACATTTACCGTATCTCCAAAGAATGAATTAAAATGAAATGTGATTCCTTAGAGCAGCCACAATTATCTCCCCTGGTTTACCATTTGAATGATGTAATTGTAATTGATATAATTGCTTTTCTGACCACGGGCAAGCACACTTTCATTCTCTCGAAGGGACTATCATGTGCACTAAGTCTCCTTTTCATTGCAAACTGACTGCTGAAGAACATTCCGCACCTATAAAGATGAAAATGAATCGGCAAACCACATACTCAACAGCATGGCAAGGAACACGCAGGGTCAGAAACCTGCTGTGACTTTCCTGGACGGCACCTTGAATTTTGCTACGGGGTTTATAGCCTTTATAAATTGTCCTATTGTTGTAAACAAACATCTGCTTGTGCAGTTTTGGTGTCTGCTTTGAAACACTATGTTCAATTTTGAATTTTAACTGACTAGAGTCATTTAGAAAACATTCCAGACCTGCTTTTCAATCTGTACAAATTAATTGCTGGTGATGTGTCTGTCTTGTTAAAGGGAAAATATACATTTAAGTGTGATGCTTAGTACTTCAAGTCCCAGTTCCTCCACTCCTCAAAAGCCAATTAGCCTTAACTTGTTAGCCTTGTGTTAGCTTGTTGGAATTTCTCCAATACAAGGTGATTGTGCTTTACATAACTTTAATAATCTGATGGTTGAACAATACATCTTCTTTCCAGTAGGCAGTCCACCAGTTGGTGACCACTGGTAATACAGACATTCCTCTCCTTACAAACTTTCAGACATACGAACGAAGAGTGTAAGGACTGTGAACGAGGACTGTAAGTCCAAATTGTGTTCGTTGGGCTCCCGTTTCCTGTCCGCATCATAATTATTTTTTTTTCTGCGCGGCAGTTCCGCCTTGTATGACTTCTGGCCGCTACTCCCGCCGCGCAGCAGCGTAGCGTGTGTACTCCCAGCATCCTAGTTCTTTGTACTTGTGTATAGCCTTAAAATGATGTTGAACAATGACTTATGAACATTTCAAGTTATGGGCTGTTCGGAACATATCTCATTCGTAAGTAGAGGAGCGTCTGTATATGCAAACACATTTTTAAGGATACTCATAAAGATAATTGATGAAGGCCAGAAAAACGTATGCAAAACAGAAAAGCGCATTAACCAAACCATGGGGCATTGCAACATTTTTATAGTATCCAATCGAATACTGTCTTCTATTCATCTCCATTACGTATCCTGATGATATCCTTCACCGTGATTTCATTTGAACCACAGTAATCGATGCACGTTGAAGACCTCCATCCTCCTTCTCAATGAAGAAGAAGCTGGCTGCTATGAGAAAATCAGATGGCCAGATAAATTCCTGTCCCAAAGCTTCCAGAGGCACTGTTCTATCGACTTAGGCTCTGAGATTGATTATAGGCAGATTCAGTATTGTGGGGAGTGGTTTCTGATAGATGGTTGACTGTGCAATCCTAGGGTCAAAGCAGTGATTGACAAGTGGCCTTCTTCTTATTGAATACATCAACCAGGTCTTGGTATTCAGAGGTAACAATAAGAACCAGAAAACAATATACTCTCCACACTGGCTGATCACATGTGTGGGGTCAGACTCTTCCTATGCAGTCGTGTCCTTCCTTGAGCATGAGAAACCCGGTTTGTGATAAATCACCAAGGATGACCTAATAAAACCCCAAAACTAGCAGACGCTACGTGACCTTTATCCAAATGGGTTCAGTGTGCAGGAAACTGACCTTCAGGGTGATGGGACTGGTGATCTGAGTTATATAGCCAGTTCCTATTGGTTTACTACTTTTGGCTTTCACTATCATGGGCGATGGAAAATGGGTGACCAGTGGCCTGTACTACGAAGCGGGGTTACTGGCTTAACGGGGTAACTTGTCAGATTTAAGGTAGTCTGGGCAAAATGTAAATGAATGAATATGAGGTCCATTTAAACGGTTCTACCTTAAATCCGACAAGTTACCCCGATAAGCCAGTAACCCCGCTTCGTAGTACAGGCCACAGGACATTCAAGGTTTCACTTGTAGTTTTATGAGCTGAGCTGATTAAGTCAGTTGAGTTGACTAAGGCTATAACAGGCAGAATGATTCTACCACAACAAGTGAACTTCTTGAGTAGATGTGAATGAAAATGTGGTACAGTACTTGCTCCCAGTTTAGAAGTCAGAAACATCTGGCTCATTTATTGAGATTGGCACGCAGGCCTCAAGATGGTCTCCTTGCAGCCTATTGCGGATGTTTGTCTTGACCTGCAAATACAGTAACTGTTAGGCTTTAAAAGTGATACTTGATAGCTTAAAATGGTGATAGTTTAAAGCAGAAAATCCCATTGTGAAACATATTTATTACCCTGTTCATTTTTGCCTGCTTTTCATGTGGTTGATGTGACATATATTCCGACGTGCACTCTCTGTCCGCTGGTGGGAGTGTGCTCACCTGTGTGTGCGCGCACGTGTCTGTGCACACGCATCGGAGCGGAACTCCGCCATGCGAGATACAGAGAGCAGAGGAGAATTGTAAACACACAACCATGTAGAGATGAAAATGACAAGCTGTTGTGTAAATAAGATAAATAACTTAAGGCTATTTAGTTTGTTTAATAAAAGGATGATGCATAGACCTGTTCTATAGGAAAGGTAACCTTAAATGTCTTCTGTTGTGATCTGGCGCTATATAGAAAATAAAATTAACTTGACCTTCAACGGGGGGGATGGGGTGCCGTTGTGGGGGAGAGGCTGCATTCTATGGTGAGATTCATCCGTAGACAGATCTGCTAACTGGGTGTTTGGGAAAGTTCATAGCTGCAAAACGAAATTACAAGCAAAGGGTCATAAACAAGAGAATCCAAAGTCAAAACCAACGCTCAGGCTGTAACTCAAGAGGGAGAGACTGGACTTTGCAGTAAGGTGAGAGTTCCAAGGGTTTAAGTATCCTAGCCAATAATATAGCACAGTCACACACAACCAGGAATTTACTAATCTATATGAGAGGGATTTCTGGCAATTAAGTGTGAGTGAAACTGAGGGTGTGGTCAATGAGGGTGTGACACTAGGATATTGATTAGTGTTCCCCATTTCTGGCCCTAGACATTTCATAGATTTCCCTGCTCAAACACATCTTAATCAGCTAATTACCAGGTTTAGTGGGTGTTTTTGAACAGGTAAATCTGCAAACTGTTGGATTCTGGCCCTAATGTAGATTCATTTTTTAACTGTCTATGGCAAGAAAGCCCAAAGAACACTTATTAGCCTGGTTCTACTGGGTCGGCTGAGCTCCTTCCTCTTATCATCACTCTGCGGCAACATCCACTGTCACTTCTGGGTGAAACTGGAAATATTCTCAGCAACAGAGGTGGAAATTTCAGATCCAAAAAGTAAAAATCTAGACCATAATTTTTATTCAACCAACCACTCCAGTACTCAGCGACTGTGACTCATTATACTCAGCTGGTTGGAAACCAAAATCATGGTCTGGATTTTTACTTTTTGGACCTGAAATATCCACCTCTGTACAACAAATAGATGCAATCTTTAACTCCCAGAGAGAAAAGAACAGGTGGTGATGATAATGCACACACATTAGAGGAAGTAGATATTATATTCCACCCCTTCCAAGTCAACAAGGGCATCGTCTTTGAGGGGGAGACCTGTCTGAGAAGTGATCAGTTTTAAAACAAGTTCACTTCATCATATTTTGACCTATAATCATCAGAGAAAGCCCAGATGATGTTTTCAAAGAACATATTTTCTGTATTTAAATTTCTGTAATTGATGTTGTAAAAAACGAATTTACATTTAGCTCTCCATTCTGCAGACCTGAAACCCCTGCCAATCATTCCTTTAACCCACCGTTACCTGAGCTGCTTACACTATCTGAGTGTCATCCTCAATCCTGCCTCCTTCCCCCTCAGACATACCCCAGAGATTGAAGACACAGGTCCAGATGGAGGAGAATGACACAGATCCAACGGAACAGGTGCCCTGCACCAACGATTCTGGCCCAGAGGACCACACCCAGGACCATGCAACCCTGAACTACGTGGGGATTGAAGCAGTGCTAGACCAGATGAGACGCAAGGCGATGAAGACTGGCTTCGAGTTCAACATTATGGTTGTAGGTAAGCCCTGTTTGAAAAGGATGCTAATGTTGATTTTATAGCTATTTCAAGGTGTGCAAATATGAATGAATAGTTACAATTCAAGTTCTCAATCACTCATTATATATTATTATAAAAATGTTAAGACATTTCTTTGCAAATGGGTGGAATGTCTATGAAGTAGTTATATAGTATTTAATATACAGTATGAAAAATACTGAAACTAATGTAGTTAAATAAAGTGGAACTAATCATAACCGCAATCAGTACATTTTAAAGCTTGAAAACAGATGTGGGGGTGATGTATTGTTTGCATTTTTTCAACATCGGTTTGGCTGTTTATTGAACCTTTTACTGAAAAAAAATAAATTTAAACAGGGATTACATGTTTAACCAGATTGAATTTACTTTAAATCAACAGGAAGGTTAAGAAATGTGATTTTTTTCCCCAACTCATTTTAAGATTTATGTCAATAATTGTGGCTTTTAGGGATTTTAGTTGTTTTCATTAATTTGGTTGTTTCACTTTTGCACTTTTTACTGGCCTAACAGCTGTCTGATACTCAGCGGTGTTGTATTTTTCTGATGGTATGTCGGCTTAATTTTTTTGTAGTACTTTTTTCCTAGTTTTGTTATTACTGCAAATAAGGGGAACTTAGGAATGTTTAGTCTTGAGTTTCAATTAAAAAAAGCAGATATTTCTGTAATGCATGTCACACAGTGTTCCTGAACAGGCCAAAGTTTCTTTCCCCTTTCAGTTTGCCTCATGTATGTATACATATCATTTATTTGTGTGTTTGATTTGGATTTAACACTGAATTCTTTTTATAAATGAATGGCATAGGAGAGCATTGCGTGCAGCTACCCTACTAGTTTTAAGATAGATCGATAGATTGATAGATTGATAGATGTGCAGGCATAAAACAAAACACTTGTATAAATAAAGCCAAACACAGTCACTGGATTTTTACTGCCAGTTTTTCTCTGCTATACAGGGAATGGTGAATAGAAACCGTAACTACGGATGTGACTATCCACAGGGAAACCCCCAGGATTGTGAAATGTTCCCTAGATAGATGAGTGGAGGCAAGATGAGAAATTCCAGTGGATTTTTTTTAAGCTTTTCTTAGAGTGGTGATATTACAAGAAGCGTATGAAAGGGCAGTGCTTTTGTGGATTTTGTCAGTGACACTAAAGGATGTCAGAGCAAAAGAAGTCATTTGCATACCAGTTGATCAGACCTGGTATCCTTGGCCAAGTGTAGATAATATATTGAGCAAGTGTCACACTGTAAATGCAGTGCATACTGGTGTTAAAGTACCTATACTATTGTAAACTGGTTAAATGCTGTACACAAGGGTGACAGTGCATTCCTAATGTACACGTTCACACAGAAAACCCTTTTGTAGTGTTGATAGTGTGTTATCAATGCATCGATGAATGGTTTCTGGAAAAGAAGAGAAGTGTGGCCTGGATATCAGAAAGGGACTTTGAATAAGTAACAGAAAAGGCTGCAGGACATCTGGCTGTTTTTGAATCTCTAGCTTTTCCAGCATGACTAATCAGTCCCTCCCTACACACACATATTTTAAGCTGCAGTTGGCTTGTCTAGGCCACCATCTGCTTCCACACGGAGGACAGAGGACTGCAGTTTTGTTTGTATCGTTACTTTCAATTTGAGCTGCATCGCATAGGCTCATTGTTGCTGTTCTGAAACAAGTTCACAATGCTTGATGCTTCCTGGAGACCATGAAATCTACCAGAATTCTTACATGTTTCTTTAATTGCAAGTTCGGGTTGCCAAAGTGTTTACTAAAACATAGTGAAAATTGTAAATGAAATCTGTATCTTTATTACTTGCATTAATTGATGCAAATGTACAGCAGCATAGGGGAGAATTTGGGATTGGCAGGGGGACACAGCTTCATAATTGTAATATAACGGTCTGTTTTTTGGGTGGATGAATGAAGCCAAATTAAATATGGGGGGCACCCAGGTTCCTATGCCCCTGCTACTGTAGTATCTTTGTACATGCTGGTTAGGTTTTGATCTATTTTCTGGCCTCTCATGGACTTTATTGGCTTATTGATTATGGCGGAACTGGTGTTTCCATGCATTTTATGAGCTACATTAAGACCCTTTCCTGCAATATGGAATTCAATAATATTAATCATAGCTTTCCTCTTTAGGTTTTCTTTATCCTGCTATGCTGTGACATACAGTAATGGAGGCTTTGCTCTCTTTCTAACTTTGGCATCATCTTGCGTTATAATGTGATTTTATCAATGATGCTATCCTGATAGTTAAGGCCTCATTGTAAAGCCCCAAGCTGGGCTTCTGCTTCCGCAGGATACAGTAGATGTCAAATCTAAGAACAGAAAAACCTGCATCAATATGCACTTTGTAACTTGTATGTCACTGTAGCATGTTTTTATGCAGACACAGGCCCTAGTAACCTGCGACTGTAGGGGGCAGTTAATGCATCCTGCTTGGGTTTTACATTTTCAGATATGAATTATGTGGCTTTATGTTCTGGAAACATCTAGTATATAATATTTTTCTGCAGTGCAAAATGCCTGCTTTAAACAGCTTCAAACTGCAGAAACGCTGAGGTTCATGAGCCCAGCAGGGATGGCACGAGGAAGTCTTGTGCGATGTGCTGACATGTGACCCAGTTCTTGTTTTAAAACATCAGAGGGCTGCAACAAATAAGAGTGTTGGAATGTATTCATGAAATGTGAAGTATGACAAATTCAAAAATACTAGTGCTTAGTAATGCAACATGTGGGAGGAAAAGCAGATGTAGCTGTCAGATACATTAACAGGATTTTTTTTCCCAGTGCAGTGAAGTCTTATGTCATGTTGCTAGATGAATATGAGCAAACATTTGTACAATTGATGTGCCGCTTGCCTAATGGAAAACTTGAATTATTTAAGATGGTAAAATGTCGGCCGATGACTAAACTTCGTGAAGACAATCTGCCAGGTTCTTCATACTAGCTGCAGCATGTGTGTCACGTCCATTTTTTCCATGCAGGCAGAGTATTCTCTGAAGTCACACCCTTGTGTGAATAAAGAGCAGCCAAACTTCACCTTTATGCCATATCGCCTTACAAGTGACCATATATCGACAGTCATAATGATAAGTCCATCCATCCCAGCCAGTCGCAGAGGAGCCTGGATCTTACCTGGCAACACAGGACAGAAGGCTGGAATATGTGGGGCAGGATGTGAGCATTCATTATTATTAATGTCATTATTAGTATTAGTATTAGTATTAGTATTAGTATTAGTATTCCCTGTGATCACATACTGGATAAGGGATTGGATGAGACATGGATTATTATTATTTTTTTTTAAATGATTATTTACTCCTGGACTTCAGTTCAACTACTATATTTTGCAAAATCACCAGCCTTAGTAATGCTTTCATTATTCATTTACACTAGATGGATATCTTATCAACTTTGGGGAAAAGACACAACTGTGTGTCACCTAGAGAATGATTTGAGGGGGAAAAAAACGTAATTAATTTACCATTTTGACTTTTTACACGTACATTTATGTGTAAATATGCCATCTGAATTGTACATTTGAAAAGTGATGACTATAGGTTATGAGTCACTCCTCTATTACATAATCTTTGCATAGAAGTAACAGATATTATGACATTTTCAGTATCGCTGCAAACATCTATGATCTGAATCCAAAAACCTCTGAGAGTGTGTGCTGTGCGAACAGGAATGCTGCTAAGGAATGGTTCAACTGTTTCACTTTTAGATTGAAGCTTGTTTAACAAGAACTACTGCTGTCTAGAGCATTTCAGCTTTCAGTATGGAAACTATAAAATATTGCCTCCTCTTATAAAACAAAGTTATTAATGTAAGCACTACGGTTCATTGAGATGTTAATTTCTGCATTCATGAGGAACTGCATTTATGAGGGGGAAAAAAACCATATATGCATTTCTCCGAGCTGAAGTTGTACCTGTGGTGTAAGCTTTTTGACACTTGTTTAGGATGTTTGACTGCTTTAGAGGAATCGAGATCAGAGTCCTTCAGAAATCCACACTTTAATGTGCATCTTGTTGCATGCTTCTGGGGGCTGTCTAATGCGACTCTGTTGTCCATGTTCTGTCTTCAGAATAATTCCAGTGGATTTTTCCTTCTTGCACTGTGTGTGGCTTTTCAATGTTTCACGTAATGAAAAGCAGTGAGGAAAACGAGGCCCTCCTAGTTTCTGCTTGACTGTCATCAGCAAGCAATGGCATTAAAAGAATTTTGTATGGGAACACGCTGCCTACATGTGAATGCTTTTCCTTCATATATAGGAGATCTATATATTATACTGTTAGACTGCTGAAATGAGGTCTGAAGATTAGTGTTGAGAAGCACTTGAAGTCACCATGTATTGTTTTCAGTTTTCGGTTACATATGGACGTACATCTAAAGCAGATGTTGGAACTTCAGTGGTGATCTGACAGTCCCAGGTTTCCTCGTTGCTGGATTTGAATGAAAGTTCACTCTGCCCCGGAGGAATTTCTGTGGAATATGGAGATAGTGGTTCAGCTGTAACCGATACAGGAAATGAATCAGAATGCTGTTATTCGTGAATCACTCCATTCTTAATGAAGCGTAATCCTCCACGTGTTATTATGTCAGACTTTGCAAACTGTTGTATGGGGGCACTCTGCAAAAGAGGGAAGATTTCTTGATAAAACAAGCTCCTCATACAGGATGGGCAGTGAGAGTCAAAGTAGTGGAACGAAAATGTTACTGCAGCCTCAGCACAGTGGGATTACAGGATGCTGAAGGTTGATTTCCGGGAGCACAGGGGCTTCTGGCAATCAGGTAATCAATGGAGGATCTGGCAGAATTGTGCAGGGAAAAGATCCATGCAAGAGATTTTGAAAATATGAAGAGACCAAGTTTGAACTGGTTTACAGAGATATCTCAATGTAATCAGTTCGGGGTTTGCAATTACATCATTTTTACATCATTGATTACATCATTGATTACATAATGACTTAAACCTAAAGAGTATTCTGATTCTGCTCTGTATGGCAAGTGCTAGTGGTACTATAGTACTGGCCAGTGGATGTTTCATTTTTAATTGGCTGTGAGTGACAGTTAAACTTTTGTTCTGGGGTTAGAGTCAGGGTGGGGAGTCCTGAATAAGCTGCTCCATATAGTAGTTTATTAGTTATCATATATATTTATGATTTGCATTTAAAGATGCAATATGTTAATTTGTCAGCATATTGTGCTACCATTTTAAAGCAATACAAAATATAAGGTGATCAATAAATTATTTTTAAATGATATGGGTATTGTATATATCATTTTAAAATAATTTATCGATCACGTTATATTTTGTATTGCTTTAAAATCATTTGTTACTAATGTCCCCGTGAAAATGCATCAAAATATCAAGTCATGCATGGCTGCTTCTTACACACGTCGTACCTCTAGCAGAGTCTAGCCAGAATGTGAAGTTTTGGCAGCAGTATAGTAAGTAAAATAAGTCAAAATAAAAAACACTGACCAGAAATCAAGGCATGATGGTGCATTGCCATGGTGCATTGTAAAGTGCGCGCGGCCGCAGCCTGACCGTGTGTGAATGTTTTTAAATAGCCACTAAATAAAAATATTATAATTCCCCAAAACCAAAAAGAAAGGCAACATTTTTTTATCTATTGTAAATGTGGTAACGCTTTCTGAAACTATATTTCCAGCAGCTAGTCCTCCACGGCCAAAACCTTCAACTGGTAAATCTATTAGTCAACTAGTGACCCCTAATCACCACTGAGACCACAACTGCAGAATCCTATCTTTGAATCTTTTAATCATTAAACCTGTTTTCTATGTCTTTCATCACGGTGACTTTTTGCTCATTTTCAGACTAACAGAGGATGCAGAAACAAAACTAAGCAGTCACAGGAATCTCATAGCAAGTACATACATACATCCATACATATATTTATTTTCTGTCAGCTTATCTGGGTTAAGGTTTCAGGTTTAATCGAAATAATGATTGCTTTTAGAGAAATTTGCTTAAAATAACCTGACTGAAATATGTGATGTTTGATTGTAATAGTAGCACAGTAATATCTATCAGTGGTGCTGACGTTCTCTTTCTCATTGGTATCCTTCTCCTCATACATGCCATCTGTTGCTTAGCAATGCTGTTGTTGGTTTGACAGCCATCCAAAGAAGACCATTCCTCAGGCAGAACCGTACTGACACTCGGACACCCAGTACCAGGCTAAAATCAGCCACCAGCTAGCTGCTAATATGTCGAGTAATTAGCCGTTATTGAATTGCCAATTGTATATGTTATAATGCTGAATATGGTGAGTTTTATTATTATAAATTATAATAATGCGCCTCTCAAAAACGAAAACACATTTTTGTTTTATTTATCAAAATCAAAAGGCTGGTACTCAGCCTGAAAAGATTTTTGTGTAAAATTCATTAAAATTTAAGAGTCCCATTTGAATTGATGTTTGTGTGGTCCTAATATAACTGAAGCACAGGAAACAATCAAGACCAGGAGGTTTACATCATATCCATCTGATGCTTTCATTTTCATCAATGGACTAGATTCATTAAGCTGAAGAACATTAATTACAGTCTGTTACTTTTCTCTTGCTTGGCTTTTCTCCTTTTATTTCTGCTTTAATGTGGGGTGGGTGATTCAAAGAGGAAATCGAACTAGCTTTAATAGTGTCACATGGGAATGTTTTCCTGATTTAGAACAGCAATAGCCTGAAATGCAATCTTGAAATGCAAGAACATCATCTCTTCAGCGTTATTGGCACCTGCTGTCTACACTGTGGTTTTGTATGGTTTCATGAGTGGAGAATACTGTGGCAGAGGCTAGTGATCATACTCTCCAGCGTGACACATGGCATCCTGGCACCTGCTAACTCTACTGATTGACCTCGTGGTTTTCTTACCTGAAGCAAAATGCCTTTTAAATGCTATGATAGTGCTAATTAAATTGTATGTGTACTACGTTTGTCATAAACATAGGAAGTGAACCCCATGAATGTTCTTTTGCATGGCAAACTATTTGCCATGTTGGTGATTCATTTTAAAATTTAAGGAATTATCTCCAGAATTAAAATTACTACTTTAATAGTAGAGCACAGTTAAATCTTTTAAGTAGCAATGTACATGAATGCACTTATATATATATGTATGTATGTATGTATGTATGTATGTGTGTATGTATGTATGTATGTATGTATGTGTGTATGTATGTATATGTGTGTGTATGTATGTATGTATGTATGTATGTGTGTATGTATGTATGTGTGTATGTATGTATGTATGTATGTGTGTATACACTCCATCCTATTGTGACCTATGTTCTGAAATTAATAACAGCATCTTTATCTGAATCTTAATACTCAAATCATAAAATAATCTTTTATGAGATTAAAAGTGCAAATACTAAACCAAGGCATCTGTTGATTGAATTATTCAGTGCCTTTCTAGGTCTGTCCTCCTAAAGCTTCTCCCCTTAATGTCATATTTGTGAAAACTTAATAGAACAGTGATTTGCAGTGATACTGACTGAAAAATTGCTTTCTTCAGCTGAAATTACATGTGCAAATCTGCTGTTGGTCATATGATCAGCTGTGAATAGTTACCCATTTATAGCTGTGACATAAAGAGAGCCTCTCTAGTGGTTTCTGCTTTATTCAGTTCCTTTCAGTGTAAGCATTACTGAATCAAATCAGTGTATGAGTTACTGAATCAAAATGAATTAAAATTACTGTTCCCACTCTACCGCTTTAACACTTTAAATAGAAACACATTGCATGCACAGAAATACATATGTACAGTCAAAACAGAATAACTCTGCCGGTGATTCGCTCCAGTTTAGTTCTGCCAAGGAGGTTCTTCATCATTTTTTTTTAATGTGCAAAAGCCCTTTATAATAAATCCATGAAAATACAATTAAAGTGAACTGGGGACTGGGTTGCCCGTAGCGACAAATTGTTTGATAAATTCAATGTGACCATTGCAATTATACTTGGACAAAAACTTATTAAAATTTCATTGATTCGGGAAAAAAAAGAACCTCACAATAAATTTCACATGTATCATCATGAAGAAGTGGCCCTAGACCCTGGGGATAAGTGGGTAGAAGATGGATGGATGGATGGATTATCGTGAAGAACTGAATGAATGAACAATAGTTTATTAGATTCATCAATTACGTGAAGAATAACACTGTAACCAGTGAATGTCTACAAAGCAATGATTTTCTTATATTTAAAATGTACAATGCGGGGATGATATGCAGTACAGTGCTCCAAGATAGTCTTGTGACACTTGCTTAATTCGATAATAATGTTGCCAATTTATTGGTTTCATAACAAAAGTCCATTGACAAGCAGTGTTTAACGTATCAGCACATATCCTCCACACAGACATTTCCTTAACATTAAGTGTCTCCATATTTTTGGCTAACAGTTATGTTCTTGCCATTTTATTATTAATTGCTATTGTGGTCATTGGCTCCCCAAGGGATTCTAAACACAAATGTTTGGTGCTTTTTTATCATTTCAAAGGTGCTACTAATTACAAAGCACCCAGTGATGCTTGTCAATAAACTTTTTAACTCAGAACAACTCTTTTAGAACTATAATTTTGGTTTCAGTATATTAGTACTTGAAATTTTTGCAAACAAATGAAGTGATGATTTTTGATATAAAACCAATAAATTTGCAATATTTTTACAAGCAAGCATCCCAAGATTTTCTGTCAGTACTGTGCAATGTGTGTGTGTGTGTGTGTGTGTCTGTGTGAGCGGGTATACCTTACCTTATGGGGACACAATGTCCCCACAACATGAGTTTTTTTTCCCTTATGGGGACCAGTTTCCTTGTATTTTGCTTGGTTACTTATGGTTATGGTTAGGGCTGGGTAGGGGTTAAGGTTATCATAGTTAGCATTAGCATTTTTCCCATAGAAATGAATGAGAGGTCCCCATAAAGATATGTTTACTCGACATGTGCGTGTGTGTGTGTGTGTGTGTATGAACAGTTCATGAGGAGTGGCTCGAAAATTTGCCAGTTGTATGCTGTTTGCATAGTTGGTAAAGGTTCTTTTTAACAGTTCTGTGTAGCAGAACTTCATTGTGCTTTTCAGTACATTGTGTATGTGATGTTTTACCTCTTCTGATAATTTACACCAATAACAAACCTCTGTTTTATACCTTAACATATGGGCTGGAATAACTTGATAAAGTTACAGATGGGAAAATAGTTTTGGATGATTTAGGAATCATTGTTTAATGCCTCAGATTTTTCCATATATTCATAAGAAACTGAAGAATGTTCATAGAGACTATTTTTACGTACCGATTTGTCAGATCACTTGCCTGCGCAACTCTGGCCCTGTATCTGCTTGCCTTTGCTGGTCTTCTGTTTGTGTGATTGTCAGTTGCCAGGTGAATATATCTACTTCATTTGTTTACCAAGCATGCTTGCTAAATCAGATGTCTGCACTACACAATCTGTACCTAGAGGATCTGTAAAAGATGACAGTGTTGAAAGAACCTTAATATTGAATGAGGTATTCTCAGGTATTTGAAAAGCAGCTTTGATTATATACCTTCTCTGTCTCATGATTTCCTCTTCTAGGTCAGAGTGGTCTTGGAAAGTCAACCCTTATGAACACATTGTTCAAATCCAAAGTCAGTCGAAAGTCCTGCACCCCAAATTATGAGGAAAAAATCCAGAAGACGGTCCATTTGCAGTCTGTCAGCCATGGTAAGTCCTACTGGTTTTTGGTATAAACACATATTAATTTGTCACAAATATGTTATATTTGGGGTAGTACCTCTAAGCAAGTTGCATTTAGATTCACATAAGCCTTTTATATTATGTCGTGAGATAGCTAAGTATGAGCTTGGTAAATAGCAAGCTTCATATATACTTTTAATAATATTTTTTTTTAAATCTTACATGCAGAAAGAACTAAATAGAACTACAAATTAAAAAGCCTGTGGTTTTCCACTACTACAAATGAAATTTGTAGAAGATTATTAATTTATTTTTAATTCAATAAAAGGTTTGAACAAAGAAAGGATGACAAAAAGCCCCTTTTGTGTCAATAACTGTCTCTGGATGAAGGATTTGTGTCACTGCAGTTAGGGCTGGTGTTACAGGTAAATGCAGCATAAAGGCGCCCAGCACCGATGCTGAGAGTTCGCATTTCAATCTGCAGGATGAAAAGCAACAACTGCTGAGCGATGTTCACAGCCCGACTGCCCTTCACTTACACAGGCTTACAGACACAAACACCTCCTCTCTGCCTCACTTTTGGCTGAGTTTTGGCAGGTTGTGAGGGATGTTTATCATTTATGGCAGCTGATTTTAACGTATTATCATAACAATATTTATATTAACACATGAAAAGCCATCAGCTAAAACTATTTTGGTACCAAGGTGTTTTTTCTCTCCTTATTGCTCAAAATATGTGTGTTTGACATGGAAATCCATGAGCATGCCCGGAGGAAATTTAAACTGCTCAAAGCTTGCCATTCTACAGCTCGGAAAGACACAATTGTGATCCTTATTTCAGCCTCATTTTAGTTTCTATTTTGGCGAATATGTTTCTCTTAAAATTCACTAGAGGAAATAAAGTAGGTAGAGGTGAACCATAGGACAGGAGTCATACTTGAGGCTAACAAGATATCTTGACATAAGGTTCAAGGTTGCTTTATTTGTCACATGCACAGATGTACAGGTACAACATGCAGTGAAATGAAATTTGTCCCAATCTACCCGACCATACACATACAAACATTACAGGGGTTAGACAGGTCAGGTAGACAGGGGATATAGAAAAACAGAGAAACAGAATTACATTAGGAAACGCGAGGCGAATAAAAAAAACAGCCCCCATACTGTACTCCAATAGGAAGAATAATGTAGGAACAGAAAAAAACACCTCAGCAACACAAGCACATGGTCACCACACCTAAGAACAGACTCGTGACTTGCAACAGGGGTGGGGAATGGGGAGTTGGAGGTAGTCCAGCATAGACAACAGCCATTCTGACATAAGTGAGAGATATTGAAGCCAAAAGATCCACACACAGAAAACTGGGGCAGACACTCAAACCCTGATCTCTAGAGGTGTGAGGCAACCACAATAACCACTGTGCCACCGTGCTGTCCCCACAAAACTGTACATGATACACAGGGTCCAAGCACTTCAGCAATTATGGCCAAACATGGCTTTGAATTTGAGGATAAAGAGAAAATTGACAAACTACAAAAGGATAAACTTGTACTACAAATTTTGTTGCAGCAGTACATATAGTAATTAAAGCAGTATCACAATGTGGAGGGAAAGGATGACCCAAATGCAGACTGGGAGCAAGTACCACCCCTAACAGGGGAAAACAGGCAAAGCAACTCACACAGACAGAGAACAATGACTGATCAAGAAGCACAGGCCTAAGACACGCTACTAAACATGACTAAGGCCTCCTCCACACGGATGTTCGAAATGAACGCCATGTGTTTTTCCTGCGTTATGTAGTTGCGTTCGACTGGTGTTTCACTGGTGTTCGCTTGACGCTGTTTAACACCAGCCTGATGCCCAATCTGTAGTTTAATGTGTTTACCTGTGGGGGTAGTAATTACTCTGTCCAGAGTGTTTACATGTGGGAAACACGGACGAAATACAGAGGACTAATGACAACAACCAGTAACAGCTGATCACACGGGGATTCCACACGGGGTTAACGAGGGGGCGTGGCACACGGAAGGAGCGGATGACCGGGGCAGGACACATTGTTTTTTTTTTAACTTTACACATTGTTTGGATACATTTATTTTCTTACTTTACAAATTGCTGTTTTGATAAATGTGCTTAGATGTGTTTAATACAGTATATGCTCTTCTTGTTTTATCCAGTTCATTTTGTGTTTAAATGCTAAAAATACATATTTAGGTGTAATTTTTTGGGGCCGGGAACCAATTAATTGGTTTTCCATTATTTCTTATGGGGAAAATTCAATCACAACTCGAATTCGATCCGGAGTTCTGAACAGATTAAATTCTAGTTCTGAGGTACCACTAATTATTATTATATAATAAAATACATTTTAAAATAAACATTTCTTATTCATTATTTTAATATTAATAATAAACCATTAATACGTTTAATTATAATAATATTGTTGTGCCGTGCGGGGACAAAGGCGCAGACGTCAGGGTATCATCTTGGTTTATAGTTCTGCATTGATAACATGGATCCCTATTCTTTTAGTTCAAATATAAGAACTCCATAGGTGGAAATTAGCGGGAGAACATTTCAAACTGGATTTAAGGAAGCACTTCTTTACACAGCGTGTAGTCAGAGTATGGAATAGTCTTCCTGATAACAGTGCAAGCTGAATCCTTGGGTTCCTTTAAATCAGAGCTAGATAAGATTTTAACAACTCTGAGCTATTAGTTAAGTTCTCCCCAAGCGAGCTCGATGGGCCGAATGGCCTCCTCTCGTTTGTATAGTTCTTATGTTCTTATTAAAACTTACGTTCGACATTATTGTTTTAAAAATCCTCATGATACGGCGCCGTAAGCAGGAGAGGAACAAACATCTTGCACGAGCTGGGCTGGATCAATGTCCGACATTGGATCAATGTCCGACATTGGATCAATGTCCGTAAAATGTGCTTTCTCGCAGTTGCCGTACAGAATCATGGGACACATTCGGTCCTCCAGAACGCCAACCGAACGCCATGTAAACGCAATAGCGTCGTTTTCCTCGCGTTTGTCTGGATTTTGACGCCAAGAAAACGTTGCATGCAGCGTTTATTTGACGCCACCTGAACGCGTAGCTGGCCAAACACCGGTGCTGAATGCCCGTGTGGACGCTTTGATTTGCTCCAATGAGCAGAAAAACGGTCAGCGTTCAGTCGGCGCTCACCTGGCGCCAGGAACGCCAGAAAAACGCCTGGTACAGACGTCCGTATGAACAAGGCCTAACAGAGGAGCAAATACAAGGCAGCTTTGGCTGGTTAACATAAGGTACGATTAACACGATTCAGCAAAGGAAAACGCTCGGGAGCAAACAAGCGGGGCTGGGCTGTACGTCACAAGCAGTAGTTGAAGTAGCAGAAATTGAAATATTTAAAGCAGTATAGCATAAATGTTTATTTTTGCTGTACAAACCAGCACAAGCAAACAGAAGTAATTCTATTATTTCTGGTCATATGGATGCCAAATTCATGCAGGTGTTTGAATCTGGCTGGGATGAGAATAGACTGGTTTCATAAAGACAGTTCTCTGATTTCTCCGTGGCAGATCAGAATGAGACTCAAAAGTTGCGAGCATCTGAGTACTATTTTGGAGCTTGATGAGATCTTTTTTGAAACTTAATGGTAGGCTGATATGTGATTTGTGTGCCTGTTTGCTTGAGGGAAAAAAAGAGAGCTAGGAGAAGTAAGCCACAGCCTCTTTTTGGTTACACAAAGATTTCATAGTTGCCTCAGATATAAATGAAACCGTTTTGAGATCTCTTCCGATTTTCTCTTCCTCTGGGCAGATTTCATTTGACATGGTCTTGACCTCTTTAGATAAACAACCTTGACGTGAATTTTATGTTCCACATGTACCCCATCTCAGCCTACACCTTTCGACTGACTGTTATCATTTCATTTTTCAAGGACTGAAAAACACTACTTCTAAAACTTAAGAAAGCAGAAGTGATCAACTTTCCACTGAAACAGAAGGAAAGCCACTGGTATGATACACGAAGAGGTCAAGACAAGAGCTTTATTTTTTAAACCTCAATACAAAGTAGCCCTGGATTCTGGCACAAATACAGTATGCAGCTCCTTCCCATACAGCCAGGATAAATGATAACTGATTTCACTCCTGATCTACCATCAAATTCAATTTCAAAAGGGCAGGAAGACTTCCAACTATTAGTAGGCTGTAGCTAGACATTTGGGGGACCCTGACAAAATGTCACATTGAGCCTTCTCGCTAAATAAAGCTAACCAGGTCCCTGAAATTATATTTTGGGGCCCCTGTAGAGTGGTGGGCCCCCAGAATCCGCCAGGGTCTCCTTGTCACTCTGACGCCTCTGACCATTGGTCCAAACTTTCAGGAACCAAAATATTTTTTCATGTAGGGTAAACATTTTAATTACACACAAATCTTTTCTTCTGTTTAAGGATAGATTATGCAAGTTGGTTTTGCATCGGGCAGGAGAATATTTCTCACAGAATTTTACATGCGACATATTTACAATTGCCACAGTCAACTCTCTGGCAGTTAATTTACTTCTAAGACGGCTGAGGGTCATCCGGAGCATGGATCATGAAGAAAAGATATCGACTTAGAGAAGTTGATATGAAATTGTAACAAGGGGATGTGAGCCTCTGCACAATTCTGGCTTCCTCTGTTTTGAATTTGCTCTTAATTCAAGTGATTTGTGAGCCGCTTAAAGGGCAAATTTACCAGGAGTCACTTTCAATATATTTGCAGAACACACTCATTTCTCAGAGCAGAAATTTGAATACAAATTGGCCTTTGCATGCTTGTTGCCACTGGCCGAACAAAGTATGAACTTTATCTTAAGCTCTAAATAGAGCTCATCCAATATATAGATCCATCCATCCCTTTTCTATAGCCACCTATCCAGGGACATGGTTAGCCTGGACTAAGGGAACACATCGAAACTCCAGCATAGTGAGATTGCCATCTAGTGGTCTGTTAATTACAAAATATCTCTACCTTCACTCAACTCTTTTTTGCTATTTTCTCACAAGTGATTGAAGAGAAAGGGGTGAAGATGAAGCTGACTGTGATTGACACCCCAGGTTTTGGAGATCAGATTGACAATGACAACTGGTGAGTGGGGGGCATCTGAAAATGATGAAATGCTTAACTGACTGTAGGAGGTGTGAATGCTCTTCTGTTGCAATATATGTGTAATTCCTCGCTAGACAGGAAATGATCCCATATATGTCCTCAATTTCATCTCAGCTGGGAGCCTATAGTGAAGTACATCAATGAGCAGTATGAGAAGTTCCTGAGGGAAGAGCTTAGCATCAACAGGAAGAGGAGAATCCCAGACACCCGGGTCCACTGCTGCGTTTACTTCCTGCCGCCCACTGGCCACTGGTACTCTCTTAGTCCTGTGCACATGTTTCTTTGGCATGAGTTCAGGAGCAGCTTCTTCTGCCACCACGTGACCACATGCCCAAACTGTATCATGAATGTCTATGGTCCCGGAGTCTTTTTTTGACCCTGGCTTATCTGCTTCATATATTCATTTATATCCCAGCATGTTGGTCTAACGGTTTAAGACCTTGAAATTTATGGAAAGATATTCTTCTCTGGGGCACATGCCGTCGAATGGGTTTTAAGAGGGAGCAGCTGCCCATTGACAGATACTGGCATGGCCTGACTCTCCTGTTGATGGTGTGGTACCTTTAAAGATTGTATTCTGGTGGCAGTCTTCTTCACCCCTGATAAATCTCAAAATACTGGGCTGTTATTTTTGCATTTTCCTAGTAGGCAGAAGGCATGATGGTATCTGATCTCTACTTTCTGGTGTTATTTTGGTGTGTAGCTCATGTTGTGTCAGCACACTGACCTACAACCCTGGCTTTTATTTATTTGTTTGTTTGTTTGTTTGTTTGTTTGTTTGTTTGTTTGTTTGTTTTAGTTTACGACCCATAGATATTGAGTTCTTGAAGAGGCTCGGGGAAATTGTCAGCATTGTCCCTGTCATCGCCAAGGCCGACACATTAACCATCGAGGAACGACAGGAGTTCAGGAAGAAGGTGAGATGTTTCAGGGGACTGACCCGGCCACTGGTTTTTAATGCTGCTGATGATATTAATAATTCATCCACCCATCTCCTAACTGCATATCCTAGTCAGGGTCCTGGGAGGACCTACCCTGGACAGCAGAGGTGGAAAGTTCAGGTGCTGAAAGTACTAATCCAGACTGAGATTTTGTTTCACCCAACCACTTGAGTACTCTGTAAATGTCACTCTTTATATGCAGCTGGTTGGTTGAAAGAAAATCTTGGTCCGGATTTGTTTTGTTGTTCCACCTCCTTGGATAGGGTGCCAGTCCATTCGATCCTTGAAAAGCACTATACAAATGAAAATGATTATTATGATTACTGTAATTGTTATTATTACTACTATATAATATTGATGATGATGGTGTCGGTCACTAGGGTTAAGATGATCGCTGTGTTAATGAACAAAACTTACAACAGACCACTGGGGTATAATGTAGGTCTATGGAGACACATAATCATTGCGATTACCGATCGTGTAAATCTTAAATAAATAAATAAATCTTAAGAAACACTTCTTCCATATCCAATTAGACAGCTGTCGTAGAGCAGTGTTCGGTTAATCAGCACATTATCCTGCTTTTCTGTGAATGGACTCTCAGACAGTTAGCAATCTGCTACATTGGACGCAAAGTCATACTGAGGATACACTAAGAACAACCAGGGTGCTTTTCTCTCATAAAAATGTAATTTCATTAGGGATAAACAGTTTTATTTCACAATACATTTGCATCGACATGTAACAAATGTTCAGCATGAGTAGTGATTAATAGAAGGGCATTAACTTCATTACCTGCCAGTTACCCTGTGCATATATAAATCAACATGCCTGTGAAGCTGATTTTCGGTCCAAGTAAACATGTGACAACATCGCTCTAAATCTCTTGACCTTGTATTGCATCACTGCAGATTCAGCATGACCTACAAGCCAATGAAATCAGAGTATATCCACAGAGAGAGTATGATGAAGATGCAGAGGACAGGATACTGAACGATAAAATTAGGGTAAAATTTTGAATCTTAATTTTGTATTATTTTGTATCTTCATTAAAGAAGCTATGTTTTTATAACGTGTTTTGTATTCATGTGAACTTTCTTCAGTTATGATTTATTGTCTTAATGCTAACAGTTTACCAGTTAACCAGTGTTACTTTCACAGAACAGAAAAAGGTGACTTGATTGCTTGATTGCAGTCTATTTAATGTGTTGCATATTACCTGCAGGAAAAAATCCCCTTTGCAGTAGTGGGAACAGACAGAGAGCATCAGGTGAATGGAAATAAAGTCCTGGGCAGGAAAACTAAATGGGGCATCATAGAAGGTGAGTGTAGCAGATGGGAACCTGGGACCCACCACTGTCTGTAGCATCACAGAATGATTGTGAGGGATTGCCAATATAAGTAGGGGCCGATTAATGAACAGCCTTGCCTAGGCTGCAGCGTAGGAGCCCCGAGTGATCATGGGGCCCCTTCTGGCTGTCAATTTTTTAAAAATATTTTTTTTTTTAGGTGTGATCCTTTATTGGTCGTTTATTTGTTTGCAAGTTGGTGATTGGTTAAACCTGAAAGGCAAGGCCAATTCTAAACATATCTCTTTTCTTACCGTTATGTGTATTCTGGTATATATAATCTGTGTGAATTTTCTGAGCCCAATCAATGAGTTTTGTGCCAGGAAAGCATGGAGGAACACATTCTAATACAGTGGTGCCTGCGGTTCACGAAAACAATCCGTTCCAGGAAAGTGGTCATGAACCAATTTGTATGCGAACCAAGGCAATTTTTCCCATAGGAAAGCATCGAAATTTGATTAATTCGTTCACAAGTCTAGCAAATAATAATTTTTGTTAATTCATTTTCTGGTTTTTATAGTAAAAACACAATATAGTGTGGCGATGGGCAGACCGAGGCATCGTGGGAGCAGAGAGAGACATGGAGACTTGCTTACCGGGGAAATCATGCTCTTTATTAACAGTCCTTAACCCTTGTATTATTGTTGTTGTTAATGTTAATGTTAATGGTTGCATTTCCCTATTGTCGCGCGTGTATTTGCCCGTGTCTTATGTGTACTCGGTCCGATCCTCGCGTGTATTTAGCGTGTGTAAATCTTCCACTGTGTGTGCATCTTGCAGTTTGGCATCTGACAACCTTGTGATTCCCGTCTGTGTATTTGGGTTTGGTGCTCGTTGGGTGCCTGTTGTGGTCCTTCTATTTACAGTTGCACGTGGGACATGCTGGGATATGCTGGGGCATGCTGGGATATGCTGGGGCATGCTGGGATATGCTGGGGCATGCTGGGATATGCACCCCGCCGGTGCTACATTAGTATAAAAAAAGGGATCTGGTTGAGGAATCTATTCTTTGACCAAATTTTGTATGCGAACCAATGCATTTTTTTCACTAAATTTTTGGTCGCAAACCAAATTGTTCGTAGACCACAGCGTTCGTGAACCACAGGCACCACTGTAATAATTACTTGGTTTATATTCTTCTGGATTTTGTCCCTCTCTGTAAATTTATGTCAGTGGTCTATTCTATCTATGTTAAATGTTTCTTGACTGCACACTGTAGATGCAGATGACTCGCACTGGATCAGAGTGTAATGTTTTAAGCTTAACGCTGTTGAGATCCCTTTACTCAGTGAGGTCTCTGTTGCGCTCTTTCTGGTTGCTGCATATGACTGATGTGAAAGTGTAAGCTTGCTGGTTTGCTGATCTTATGATCTGATTGCTCTTCTTTGATACAGCATTACATTGTCTTTGACTTTGTAGAAATTATTTTATAGTTACTAATATTTAGTAGTTTTATAGTTAAGTGTTGTACCATTTTGCAGAAGGTGTAGCCAAGGGGCCCCTGAACTGCTTAATTTGCCACTGACCATAGGGACCCTCCCATTCTCACAAGGCAGCTAGTATTATGGGTTCTTGTACCGTGAAGTTCTCCATTTTTGTCAGTAGTACCCATGCATGGTCCAGGGGTGCCAGATAAATGGCCCGATCCAGTGCTTTGACCCCAATCTTCATTCTCATCTGTATCTATGTTTGTATGTGTCTCAAAGAAGAATAAAATGAGATAGTGAAAAGAGGCGTTCCGATGTACCAGTGCTCTTACTTGTACAAGTGGCGATCATTTGATCAGCTGAGCCTTAGGATATTTCATAACTGCTAGGATGTAGCTCTAGTACCTCCAAATGCCCCATTTCCAAGGTCATTTGGACAGGAATGTAGCAAACTTTCCATATTATGAGAAAGCCACTAGTTCAAAGGTATTGAAAGGATGCCTAATGGTGTAGTTAGACAGCTGTGGGACAGGGCAAGCTACTGTCAGCTGTAAGGCAAGGAACAGGCCTAGAATAAAACTGAGGACAACAGCAAGGACTGGGAGCACCAGGGTGTACTGGGGACGGCAATGCTTTGATTTGAGAAATCTGACAGAAAATCTAATACGGTTTCTAGTTTTGCGAGCAGAGCTTCACTTACCTACAGAGGCCCCCACAGTCAGTGGACTGGGTTCCACTGGAACATCTCCAAGCCCTGAAACACGCCATGCAGTCTGATATGCTTTCTGGCGTATGATGCTGAGCAGACTTGGTCTTACCTTAAGGCCTGCGAACTTCACACCCTCAAAGGAGCCGCGAGAAGCTTCTCCTATTCCTCCTCATGTGGCTGCCCGTCAGCTCAGTGGAGCAGCACCTCTGCCCAGCCAAGATCAATCCAGGCAGAACACCACTATGTCAAGATAACACAGATGGCGACCACCCAGACGACTTTAAGGTGGAGTCTAAGCCCACCTAACCAAAAGCACATGCCCTTCAAATCCCCCTTGTCCTATAAAAAAGATTGAGATGTATTCTCCGCGAAACCCCAGCTTGGTACCACAGCTGTATTCTGGGTTCACTGGAGGCGGCTGGCAGGGGCGTACGTGGAAGTTTTTGCAGGCAGAAGAAGTCAAACACAAGGACTATAAATACACCGGCGGGTTTGTGCACTTTTATAAATATTGTATTACACCACATCTTCATATACAGAACCGTTGGCACTGTAAGTTTGTTTATTGTGGATAAATATGTCTAAACTGCGATGCAGCTATACTTGTATGGTCATACTGTATATCCATTATGTAATTTTCCACCTACCACATCCAGGGTAATTTATTGCTTTACAGTAATTTAACTATTTGTTACATTGTGTTTTGTGATTTAATGCCTGATGCTTCTTTTAGAGTTTAGAGCTGCCACTGACATATACAGACCTCACTGTTCCTTCACAATAGAGAGAAAGGTCAAGTAGCTACATAAGGCTACCATAAGAGCATATGTGTAATGTTGAGTTGTTCTTTCTCAGCCTCTCATGTAAAAGGGGGAGGGGTGGGGGGCGGGGCACTCAACAGGTGCTAATTGCAAAGAAGGGCTATGACACTTCAAGGCAACCTAATAGATGCGATTGTGCCGATACTCATGAACTGATAGTCGAGTGTTCAGGTAGATCTAGATCTCACTGGGGAACATGAATATTAACCAGTTTTGCACATTAGCATAGCTTTTAAAGAAAGGTTGCATTTTCCCTGACAGAATGCAGAACTTTGATGATATTAGTGCATCCACTTATATGCATATTGAAATTTGTAAGCTATAGGAAATCACTTTGAATGAAGGCAGCTAATGTACAATTGCTGAATCTTTTTTGAGGCCAGCAGCCTTTAGACATTCATTGCTTTGCCGGCCGTGCAGAAAGACGTGCTCCTCTGAAATGTTTGCTAGCCTGCTCTGGCTAACTGTCAGATCTCCGTGCTTGTTTTCTGAAAGTTGGTCCTTCATGCTTTCTGTTTGTAGGCATAGAGCCGGCGGTGTTCATTCACCAGCTAGCATTTAAAAACGCTCTTTATATTGTGTTTTGACCCTCTGAGGAACGTGTTTGCTCGTATTAACGTCTGAACAAAACTCTTGGTTTTGCAGTTGAAAACGTTGCGCACTGTGAGTTCACCAACTTCAGAGATCTACTGATCAGGTGAGAGAGCCAAGTAACAACATCGGCCCGTTCTCACTGCTGCACCCCCCCTAAATAAATAATAACCCACATCCTTTAGCTCCTCGTCTGGAAACCCCTTCAGGTGTCTCTATCAGCTGCGCATATGCAGGCTTTTATCGTGCCTCTCCGCCACTCCTCTCTCATTTCTTCTGAATTACCCCCATGCACTGAAAACACAGAGTGTCACCAAAGGTGCAGAGTGACCCCGCCCCAAAGCACCACTATCCCCCTTTCAAATGACAGCGATGGCTTCATCACGCTCCTCTTTCTTCCTCCCGTCTTACTAATGAAACCACCAGCAGGTCATCGTACACCTTTTCGCTGAGGTTCCCCTGAAAGAACATCTTGCCCTTCTGCTGATAAAGCAGTACCCCTTCCACATGCTCTAAACTGAGGAAAAAACCATATATAGGAATCAAGGGATAAATTCATCACAAGATAGCTATTTTCAGCTATGTTGAGTGTCAAGGTTTTGAAGTGCTGAAGTGTTGATAAACAGTTCATGATTATTTATGGGAGCCAGGGAGTATAGAAACAGATTTTCAGTTTATCGCTCTAGTTTGTGCTGCTCCTTCATCCTATTTCTACGCTCAGTGTAAGTTCTATTTGTTCTCTTTTCTACAGATCCCACCTGCAAGACTTAAAGGATGTTACTCACAACATCCATTACGAGACCTACAGAGTCAGGAGGCTTAACGACAGCAATGTGAACGGTCTGGGACTTTCGTCTTTGAGCATCACCACAGGAGAAAATGTCCTCTGACGGAGGAGTCAACGAATGAGCGGCAGCGCTGCATCTCTCGCACTTCATGGCCTCAGCTGTAGTGCTCTCAAGTTACAAAGAAATAAATAAGATTTGTGGGGTTTTTTTGAGGGGGGGGGGCGATTAGTGCTGTGATATGTATTTCTGTCTCCGGTTAATCTGCATGTTCTGTAGCCTTGGAAACGGAGCAGTGCCTATGTTTACAAGAAGCACAGTGAAATGTCAGCGAGAAAAGCCACACGTCCAAATAATCAGTGCCAAACCAAACCAGCGGCCTCGTCCTATGGCGCCGTCCGCAGAGGGTCACTCAGCATGGGACTTTGGATCATTAACGGTGTGTGACGTGTGACAAGGACATAGGTTTTCAAAGGCATTCAGATTCTGGCAGCTTTTTGACTACGTATAAAACAAGCAGTGCCAGTCAGCTCTTAAATCTGGAATCATGCTATTATAGCGCATTGCATTCTGGTATCTTTATTTCTGTACTTCTTAATATCCCTTGCAAAAATTCCGATCGTTCTCTGTAGCTAGCCACTTTTATATGGTGTGTGTTTAGTAGTGCCAAAATCTTCGTAAGCTGTGATCTTGTGTTTTAATTTTTTATGCTTATTCAAAATTAAAAAGGAGTCTACAGGGAAAAGTAAACTATAGGATGGAAACTGTTTATTGAGATTAGTCATATGCATTAAATGCTGGTCGACTCTGTTATGCAAAATAATAAGGTCCCTTGAAGTTATAGAACTTTTTATTACTTTGTAAGAGGTTGACTATATCTTTTTCTAGAAAATGCTCACTAGTGATGTTTTGCAAAGATATTCAAATGCTAATAATAACTGTTAATATTTTTATCCAAAATATGACTACTTTTAAATCTCTTTTGTACAGACAATTTTTATTTGCCTACTTGTCTCTTGTTTTTAATTGTATTAACATCTCAAATGTGATATATGCCTTAATGTTACATAACAATATGCATATAAAACAAAGAATGCTTGATTAAAATAGTCTGTGTAATTCTTAATAACAGCTACAAAATCTCATACATAAAAAGTGCATTAGAGAAGATATTATATTTGGGGAAAATAGGACAGCCCAAGGTGATGGTTCACAGTATCTGTGTTGCCTTTCATTTTTGGGGGCTACTTCCATTCATCCATTTTCAATACCTACTTGTGCTACACAGGGTCGTGGGGGTCCAGAGCCTATCTCAGAAGCTACAGGCCAAGTAAGCAAATATCCCAGGATGGGGCACCAGCTCATGGCAATGCACACACTGGCAGGATGTTTAGTACTGGAAACTCACACAATAAGACTTGATCATGAATATGCAATAGAATGTCTAGGAATTTATTGATTGTGTCAGGACAAATAGGCAGCATTACTTTAATAACATATACCATGCATCTCCATGTTTATCCAGCACACAGTGGATATTGGTTGTCAGTTATGAACCAAATCTCTCTGTAGACTAAATTATAAACATCAAAGCTGATGTGCCAGGTAAATGATGTACTGTTACGCTGCTCCAACAAGCACTCATACGGGTGGTTTTAGAAGCAGAAGATACTCTAGAGCTCAGCTGTCCTGCCAAACTTGGCCAAGAGAATCCACTGTTTGATGTCAGCGTTCTGGAAAATTTGTACAAAAGGTTTACAAAACAGAGGTTCCTTCTCTAGGTAATTGAAGAAAACCTCATGTTTAATAAACTGCAACTGTTACCCTTCTTTTATGGTTACTGCAGACAGAAACTGTTTTAGGCATCCAGCATTTTGTTTGGCATCAGCCAAATGACAATCATGTCATAACTCTAGGCCTTCTCTGAAATATGGTGAGAGGTCTTCTGTCGGGGCTGTTTGCATCCATATGTCCTGGAGTGATTAATATAGATAAGACAGAATATTTTGGCCTAAATTCTTGTTCTCTCCACCAAGAACAAAAGTTTAGCTTGACCTTTCAACGAGGCAATAATCCAAAAAACAAATCTAAAAGAACTGACCACAGAATCCACCTTATGAATCTGCTCTCTCAGTTTCTGGACCCGACTCTAATGGGAAATTTATGCTTTAAACATAAAAAAGTGAAAACTAAGGATCAGAATGACATAGAAAAAGTACACAAGAAGTTAATAAGTTTGACTTTTTTGGGGTGAACTGAAGGAGGAACTCATTTTCTGCTTACAAATTTCACACATACCCCGTATATTGAAATGTCTGTAGGTCATTAAAAACCCATGTTTAAAACCTGACCTTATTTGCAGAGTTGATAATATATGTTTGTTTCTTGCACATATTCATAAACAATCAGCACAAATTCTTAAAACAATATGAACTTGTTTTGATTATTTACAGTCCTGTCATTTTCAGTGGTCAGGTTACTTGTAATATCATGTTAAATCATGTTAACAAAACTATAACATGATGATTAAGTCAAACAGCTGTTCAGCCCCCTGTGAATTCAATGACATTTTTAATTCAATGTTGTCAATTACAAGCAGTTTTCCAATGTAACAATAAGCATCAGTACAACGGAGGTGCACTTTCACTTTCACTTTCACTTTTAATTCAAGTGCAGTGATGTCAACAAATGCGGGTTTAAAGTTGCAAGCTACAGACGCTCTTCCTTTTCTCATTTGTCCATCACAGACCAAAACAGAATCTTCCAGAATGAAATAAATAAATAAAGTCCTCAGAAAGCTCTTAATATAATAACCAGACTGAATTCCCAGTGGAATCGTGGAATCATCTGAAATGTCTACGCATCTATTAATAGAATGTATGTTTCCAAAAAAGGTATCAGGACATTAATGCAAACTCCGGGCAAAAAATCAAAAACAGGAAAAACAAGTTAAACTTGGGCTTTGAACAAACCTCGGCCAAATGGTTACGCGTCCTGCCACACAGTCACTACTGTAAAATAGGTACATTACACTAAGAACTTGGCTAGTTTGGTTTGAAAACAGGAGGTAATGGGCTCCATGGAATCGGTCTCCTTCTATGCATTAAAAAACCTGATGACCAGTTGCATGGGTGACACTGCTCAGTCTGCTCTGCCGAGGCCAGGCTCTGTGCAGTCGCAGGATCATCGCTCCGTGTCACTAGCTGCTCTTCCACCAATCGAGCACGAGCGTTGCCGTGGCGCCTGGTCGCTAAGCGGCCTGAGCGCAGGTGTCAGGAAAGCTAAGTTTACAGCGGCCATCTGGGCCCCCCCAGGGGGCGTGACGGATCGGCCTCGCCGTCGCCCTGCGTCTCGCCGCTTGGGAACGGCGCTGTTACACAAATATTTAAGTAAGCTGTGATTTTAAACATTTCTGATTCAGCGACGCGGTGCAGCCAGTTCAGTGCGGTTAGCAGATGGCTAAGCGGGAGCATAAGCACGGGGTGCGAGCCCAAAAAACAGCTGAAATGATACTTCGAAAACACTTTCGTCCCTTGCCCCCAACCCAAAACGTACTCTCGCCTGACAGGCCCTTTCGCCGAATAAATATATAAATAAATACAACAAAAAATATTTTTACACTCAGGTACACAGAAAAATAAATAAAAAGCAATAAAGAAGCATGAAGAATTATGTGAAGCAACACTGGCCTTGATTAAGAACATAGGCATAATGTAGAAAGTGTTACAAGCCAGCAGAATCCATTTAGTCCATCCTTTTTCTTTTTTCAGATATCCTCACCTGCACGGACTGCTTTACAGATATCCCATTTACAGATATCCAGCTGCAACAAATCCCATTTCATTTAAACTATCTCTCTACCAGACTCCTAGAAAACAAACAAAAAAAAATAAAAATCGAGGAGTTCCAAAATGACGGGCCTTCATTTGGCTGGACCTCCGGTGACATAACCTGAGGCATTATATCTTGATTTGCTGTATCGACTATTGAGAAGAAATCCATCTTTGTTTAGACTGAAAACAAAATAAGACAGGTTTCCACTCTGTGTTTACTCACTGTGACCTCAGCTCTTAGAAATACATTAGCTTTTAGCTCACAGATGGTTCCGCTTCCCTTATATTCGTTTCCTTGAATAAACTTGCTGATTATCAATCAGCCTAATACATATGCAGAGGTGACTAACACATGGTTATTTTAATAACTGAGAATCTCTTCTAATAGGACTTTCTGGTGTGAACATGGATGTTAAGGAGTAGCTTTACCCGAAATAATATCGTGCTGGAAAGTAAAGGAACGAAATGCGTTCAAAATCCTGACCATATGTATTTATTTAGATTTTAAGACTGATTGAGGGCTCCGTGGAGAGCCACTGTTTGTTTCCAGCAGAGCCTTTTGTGCTCTTAATGCCACTGTGCGTCCCCTGACAATGGACACTGCACAGGAGGTCAGGTGTAAACAGAGAGGAGCTCACTGGACAGGCGAACCTCTCAACGACAGCAGGAGAACACAAAGGCAAGGAGGCGGGGTGTGTGGATGGTGTCTGGAACGCCGCCCCCAACCCGAGATATGTCAGAAATGTCAACATTCAGAAGAAAATGGGGAGAGGGGGGAGATGGAGAGCAAAACCACATTTCAGCCCTCGGAGTGATGGGAGGAATGGCAATGTGGCCTCTCTGCACTGGACCGGCCTCTCTGCACTGGACCGGCCTCTCTGCACTGGACCGGCCACTCCATTTCACAAATACTGCTTCTTTTTATAACCTCTTGGGTTTCAATTACGAAGGTAATTTTTCAAACAAGAAAATAAACAGTTTTGGCCGTTCGACTCCCTTCCACCAGCTAACAGCAGCACACCCTGTATATTTCGGGGGAATCAGCTCCCACGATACCAAGGTGCTTTCTGCATGACTTTCGTATTACAGCTGACAGTCCGTTCCTTAACTCGCTGTGGTCGACTTCAAGTGCTACGCACCACTATCAAGAAATAACCAGTAATGTGCAATATCGCAACAGCTGGCTTTCATACTGGCTTTGGCAGCCATATGATGTAGCTGAACATCGGTCATTAGTGCTATGACTACAAACATGGATGTACATAAAGTATACGTCTTAATATCCAAGTTGGCCTTATTATGCTTATACAAGTACATTCCTTTATGACCACGAATAAGGGTAAAGACTCTTCCATCTTCATGCAGCACAACGACCTCATAATGAGGCCACTGCGAATACCGCAGTACCTTCTACCAATAGCTCGTTGCCTGCCACAGCTACTTCTCTTATTGTCCCACTAATCAAAATATAACCTCAAAAAAATATATATCTAAAAAAAAAATACATAGTGACAAGAAGTGACTTAAGCGTGCAGCTCGGAGGGACAAAGGCGGAAGCAACTATTCTTCATTCTATTGGTTTTGTAGAAGACACAGACATGAGGGGGGGCTCCCCTTCACTCTCACCCCCTTCCCTGGACTCCGGGTCCCGGGATAGGAGGCGGCAGGACAAAACTGGATGCGCTTTTTATTAGTCGATAAAACACAGAATGTCACACCAAAGCGGCTTCGCTGTTTTCATGAAACATGATGCGTTTGAACACTGTTAGTGTGATTGAATGTGTACGTCAATCTGCCTTAACTTATTAACGTTCCTTTTCCTTTTGGGTCTCCGAAATCGCCAAGCCTTCACTTTCGTACGTTCCACCGGCACATATGTTTCGTTTTCATCTCTCGTCTTCTCATCCGTGTCACTTGCTTTTTTCCCCTTGGGTGGATAAAGACGGTTTCGGTCGGCCTTCACGTTTAAACTGAATGAGACTGTCCTGGTGATGCGTAGTGCTGCTGTTTACTCTCACTACTCGATGACCATGCAGTGGGGCAGGTGCTGAGAGTAGTACTTGAAGAGCTCAGTGGTAGCCCCAGGACAGTTGGTGAGTTCTAGCTCTTCCAGGTCCTGCAGCTGAATGAGGCCGGAGAGCCCGGTAGTGGTCAACAAGGGGCAACCTACAACAGACAAATAAAAATTCAAGTTTGCTCTGTTTGTGACCATGAACAGGACAGATACAGAAGATGGATACCATTTTGTTATGAATAACTTACGGCAGACTAAGTAAAATTAATCGATTTTAATGTACCTGCAAGGGACAGCAGACGTAGGCTCTTCATAGCAAAGAGATGCTGTAAACCAAAATCCTGCACCTGAAAGAAAGGCCATAGAGTGAGACTTCGACAAGATTCAAGATTTATTTGTCACATACATACAGATGCATACGTTATACAGACACAACTCGCAATGAAATGCAAATCTGATTACTCCTTAGACTGTGAAGCAGAATAACAAATAAAAAACAAATAAAAAATAAATTAGACTAAATGGTTAAAAGTGGAGAGAGGTGACAAGATGGGTAATAAAAGTTAAATAACACTATATATACACTCTATCGGTCCATTCATCCTTTTTCTGAACCCACTTGCCCAACTCAGGGTCACGGGGGGGTCCGGAGCCTATCCCAGAAGCACAAGGCAGGGAACAACCTAAGATGGGGCACCAACTCATCGCAGACACTCACACACTATTCACACCTATGGGAAATTCTGCAACTCCAATTCACCTTCGATTCGGCATGTTTGCTGGATTGTGGGGGAAAACTGGAACCCCAGGATGACACAGGGGGAAACATGCAAACTTACACAAGGAGCCATAGGGGAGAGTCGAACCCTGGTCCCAGAGGTGTGAAGCAGCAGTGCTAACCACCTCACCGCCCCATATATACTCTATCCTACTATGTATAGCACCCTAAATTGTTGTTATTCTTCCTTGTGTCAAAGACAGCTACCCTCATCCCGCTGGTAATTAAAGCTATGCTCATCTTACCTGGCAACACCACCTCAAGTAGAGGCTGCGTAGGGATGACATTGTGGACAGGTATCCCAATCCCGTGTCGGTGATCCGCACGCATCTGCAAGAGGAAGCAGCAGCGAAGGTTAGAGAACACAGGCGTACGCTGCCTAGACCTCAGGGGGTCCTGGGTAATCACTGACTTCACAGGGATTTCGCTGTTGCCATCTGTGAGGGGATGGCGCACTCACCGGTCCAGCACCAGCTCCTCCAGCTTGTGAAGGTCACAGGCGATGTACTCCAGTGCCATGTCGGTGATGCGGGGACACCAGGACAGGTCCAAACTGCGGAGCTTGCGCAAGTTCTCGGCCACCAGCTCCACGCCGTCGTCGGTGATCTTGGAACAGCCAGAGAGGCTCAGCGCTGTTAGGTTGGGCAGGCTGTGGACCATGTTGACCACACCGTGGTTGGTGATCTCCCAGCAGGAGTGCAGGCGCAGCGTACGGGTGGTGTGGCCCTGCTTAGCCGTGAAGTAGGCCATGGCCGTGTCGGTCACGTGGTAGGCCTGCAGGCTCAGCTCCGACAGGTTGGGCAGCAACTGTGAGATGGCGGCGATGGCGTCGTCCGCCACGTTGATGCAGTCGCTGACGCTCAAGGAGGTCAAGCGTGCGTTCAAGCTGGACCACAAGCCAGCCTCAGTGAAGTCGTTACAGCCCGACAGCTCCAGGTGTACGAGACCCTGCATCTGCTCCAGCATCACCTGCAGATGGAAAAAGGTGCTTTGTGACACACCATCACCATTTATATATAGACTGTATATAATACGCCTTGTTCACATTGACTTTTTCTCTGAAGAAAAATAATTTATAGTATTCTTTATTAATCCGGCATTACAACCTTCCTTCAGGGCTCTCTACAAGGCTACCTGTATCTCCACAGGACAACTTGTAACTCCATAGGGCTTCCTGTAACTCTACGAGACTACCTGTGTCTCCACAGGACTACCTGTATCTCCACAGGGTTTCCTGTAACTCTAAAAGGCTACCTGTGTCTCCACTGGACTACCTGTATCTCCACAGGGTTTCCTGTAACTC